AGGAGGCGTTGAAGATGTTATACCATCTAAGAACTTGAGAGAGTCGAAGCCAACACATCTGGGACCATTAGAGCGGGAGTACTGGAAAGACAAAAAATATACCAGAAAGAATAAGAAAATTCTTCTAAACTTTTTCATTAGATGTAAATCAGACAAAAATAATGTTTAGGTGAATTTCCTCATATGATTGCTTCCCTCGGAAAACCGAGGGAAGAGATTCCGTACGAAAATCGCAAGAATTTGGCTCCTGGTTTGAAAGGTTATTATGTTCATAGACTTTTAGTAAACGCTGTAGCAATGTTGGCTTCACCTCGTTATGCTTGTTATATTCTTCACAAAATGCCTTATAATACTCTTCACCTAAACATTATTTTTGGTCATTTACGATGAAGTCATGACAAATCATTTCCGGGACTGTTGTCAAAATGTCATGTTGTCACACTTTTTAAGAGAAGTTAATTAACCGAGTGACACATGGTGACGTAGTGACACCCTCAGTTCTTCAAAAATAATTCATAAGTGCCTTCCTCATTAATCCTGCTGTGTTGTCAAAATGTCATGTTGTCTCATGTTTGACAAAGTGTTTACGTTCATGTTTGACAAAGGATATACGCTCATGTTTGACAAAGTGTTTACGTTCATGTTTGACAAAGTGTTTACGTTCATGTTTGACAAAACATTTACGATGAAGTCATGACAAAGCATTTACGTTCATGTTTGACAAAGTGTTTACGTTCATGTTTGACAAAACATTTACGATGAAGTTTTGACAAACCATTAACGATAAAATATATTTCCAGGACTGTTGTCAAAATGTCATGTTGTCAGTAATTTTCAGAGAAGTTAATTAACCGAGTGACACATGTTGACGTAGTGACACCTTCAGTTCTTCAAAAATAATTCATAAATACCCTCCCCGCTGTGTTGTCAAAATGTCATGTTGTCAGTAATTTTCAGAGAAGTTAATTAACCGAGTGACACATGGTGACGTAGTGACACCCTCAGTTATTCAAAAATAATTCATTATTGAATAACCTGAAACCATTAACGTAAACATTATTTTTGGGTCATTTACACTCATTACGATGAAGTTTTGACAAAACATTTACGATGAAGTCATGACAAAACATTTACGATGAAATCATGACAAAACATTTACGATGAAGTCATGACAAAACATTTACGATGAAGTCATGACAAAACATTTACGATGAAGTCATGACAAAACATTTACGATGAAGTCATGACAAAACATTTACGATGAAGTCATAACAAAACATATACGATGAAGTCATAACAAAACATATACGTTTAGTTTCGATGAAGTCATAACAAAACATATACGTTTAGTTTCGATGAAGTCATGACAAAACATTTACGATGAAGTCATAACAAAACATATACGTTTAGTTTCGATGAAGTCATAACAAAACATATACGTTTAGTTTCGATGAAGTCATGACAAAACATTTACGATGAAGTCATGACAAAACATTTACGATGAAGTCATAACAAAACATATACGATGAAGTTTTGACAAAACATTTACGATGAAGTCATGACAAAACATTTACGATGAAGTCATAACAAAACATATACGTTTAGTTTCGATGAAGTCATAACAAAACATATACGTTTAGTTTCGATGAAGTCATAACAAAACATATACGTTTAGTTTCGATGAAGTCATGACAAAACATTTACGATGAAGTCATGACAAAACATTTACGATGAAGTCATAACAAAACATATACGATGAAGTCATAACAAAACATATACGTTTAGTTTCGATGAAGTCATAACAAAACATATACGTTTAGTTTCGATGAAGTCATAACAAAACATATACGTTTAGTTTCGATGAAGTCATGACAAAACATTTACGATGAAGTCATGACAAAACATTTACGATGAAGTCATAACAAAACATATACGATGAAGTCATAACAAAACATATACGTTTAGTTTCGATGAAGTCATAACAAAACATATACGTTTAGTTTCGATGAAATCATGACAAAGCATTTACGATGAAGTCATAACAAAACATATACGTTCATTACGATGAAGTCATGACAAAACATATACGTTTAGTTTCGATGAAGTCATGACAAAACATTTACGATGAAGTCATAACAAAACATATACGATGAAGTCATAACAAAACATATACGTTTAGTTTCGATGAAGTCATGACAAAACATTTACGATGAAGTCATGACAAAACATTTACGATGAAGTCATGACAAAACATTTACGATGAAGTCATGACAAAACATTTACGATGAAGTCATAACAAAACATATACGATGAAGTCATAACAAAACATATACGTTTAGTTTCGATGAAGTCATAACAAAACATATACGTTTAGTTTCGATGAAGTCATGACAAAACATTTACGATGAAGTCATAACAAAACATATACGTTTAGTTTCGATGAAGTCATGACAAAACATTTACGATGAAGTCATGACAAAACATTTACGATGAAGTCATGACAAAACATTTACGATGAAGTCATAACAAAACATATACGATGAAGTCATAACAAAACATATACGTTTAGTTTCGATGAAGTCATAACAAAACATATACGTTTAGTTTCGATGAAGTCATGACAAAACATTTACGATGAAGTCATAACAAAACATATACGTTTAGTTTCGATGAAGTCATAACAAAACATATACGTTTAGTTTCGATGAAGTCATGACAAAACATTTACGATGAAGTCATGACAAAACATTTATGAAATCATTAATGAAAACATAAACGATAACATTTATTTCCTGTGTTGTTGTCAAAATGTCATGTTGTCAGTAATTTTAAGAGAAGTTAAATAACCTGGTGACATGGTGACGTGGTGACACTGAAAACATTTACGTTTAAGTTCGACAAAGCATTTACGATGAAATCATAACAAAACATATACGTTTAGTTTCGATGAAATCATGACAAAACATTTACGAAGAAATCATGACAAAGCATTTACGATGAAGTCATGACAAAACATTTACGATGAAGTCATGACAAAACATTTACGATGAAATCATGACAAAGTGTTTACGATGAAGTTTTGACAAAACATATACGATGAAATCATGACAAATCATTTACGATGAAATCTTGACAAAACATTTACGATGAAATCTTGACAAAGTCTTGACAAAGTCTTGACAAAGCATATACGAAGAAATCATGACAAAACATTTACGATGAAATCTTGACAAAGCATATACGATGAAGTCATAACAAAACATATACGAAGAAATCATGACAAAACATTTACGTTTAGTTTCGATGAAGTTAGTGTCTATGTTATACAGTAATGTTAGTCATGAATGTTTGTCCTACGTGTTGGCGTTAGTGTTGAAAAATAATGTTTGTCCTACATGAAGCCGTACAAGCGTTTGAATTTGTTTATGAATAAGATTACACTCTTGTTTTCTGTATCTATCATACAAACATAAGCAGCACCTGTTTTTGTAAAGTTTATATGAAGTTTTCGATAGTTAGGACCTGTATAATAATAGAATGCGTCCTCATTCTCAACATAGTAGTAGAACTCAAACGAATGCTTACCATAATCTGTTATTTCAACAGCTTCGTCAGATATTTCATCAACGAACTCATAAACTATATCACCATACTTGCTTTTATTTCTATTGTTTTCAGATCTAGAACACCAACGAAGGTTTGAGATTCTGTTGTCCGTTCTATCATGATTTATATGGTCTATTTCTTTCAAATTGTTTGGATTTTCAATCCACTGTTCTGCAATACTTCTATGCTTTAAGTACATTTTGTTGTTTAAACTAAGCACAATATAACCATAATTATTTAAGCATTCACTCATAATATGTTTGTCTTTCTTTCGACGAATAGTAAAAGGATATGTCGTACAAATCTCATAATCTTCATGATTTCTCAATGTTTCCCATTGAGTTTGTTCCCCACTAACGTTCTCATTGACGTCCTCAATATCTTCTTCCTCACTGAACTCGTCAATATTTTCACTAGCTCCTTCTGTAATGTTTTCATCGGCATTGTCATTGACTTCTTCTGTAATGTTAGATGTTGTTGTTTCGCTCATGTTCTTTCACTAATGTTAAAAAGTTATGTTGTACGAATTTTGAACAGAATTTAGAGCAGTTATGAAACAATGAAGTATTTTTACGCTATTGAAAGGAACTATGAGAGTGAAGTACATGACAGCAATGACAAAAGGAACTAATATCAAACCTAATGAAATCGCTCACGAGGACATAGAGCTTAACAAGTACTTTGTGGAGTATCTTATAAGTGAAGAGTATGTAAGACCTTACTTCATGTTTGACAGCATGAATGAGGATGTTATTTCATGGTTAAAGAATATAAGCAATGTTTTCGGTAAGTACGTCATAGATGACAAAGGTCTTGTTGTATTTTATGAGACAGCAATACGAACACAGGAACTAATGGATATTATGCACTCAACAGCAAAGAAAGGATTTAGTACTATTGGCATGAATGAACATTGCAGGAATGACATATACAACCTATGCTCACGAAAGCCTTACACAAAAGCAATACAAATGATAGAACATAAGTGTCTAAGGTCAGCAAATGAAATCATTACTGTCAGTGGTTATGAAAGAACTGTTAGCAAAGATGAGTGGAAACAGCTATTCATATTAAGGAAGGACGTTGCTGAACTAGTTAAACCTGTTGCACAAACATTGTTTCAGATAAGACCAGCAATGACTAAGAACCCTTTGACCTTAGTCAATGAGACCATAGAGGTTGAAGATAATGACATGAAAGAACTAGGAATGAATGAGAGAAGTTGTGAAGGATGTTTGAGTCAAAACACATGGTTCTTTAGAGCTGTTAAGAAACTTAGTAAAGAACGACAGAAATATTTTATAGAGAAGTATTGCAAAGGATGTGTAAATGAATTGTTTGAAATAGAACTTAGAGACACTTTCACACTAAAGGACTTGAGGAAAAATAAGTACATGAGTGAAGAAGGTATTGACATAGCTAGTGTTATAAATGACTTAAGAAGATGTGTTGTTGTTATTGACGGAGCACGTATGACATATCTAGTGAAAGATTATGATGGAATACGAGACACAACAACACTTGTGTCAGTAGATAGCAAGGAATTCAATAAGCTCATGAAGAGTGTTTATGTAGGACGTATTGAGGAGAAGGATGTGAACGCACTGATGATTTATGAAGCGGGTCAGAACAAGAACTATCTTATGAAGTCAGGCATGAGATTCTTTGACGAAAGAGATGACATTTACAGCTATTTCAGAGGATATGAGTATGAGGTACTGAATGAAGTAGATGAAAGCGTTATTGAAGGATATTTGAAACATGTTCACGATGTCATATGTAATGAGGATGAAGAGCTTTATGAGTATGTTTTGAACTGGTTCGCCTACATCGTTCAAAATCCTTGTGGAAAGACTGGAACAGTACTTTTGTTAATAGGAAAGCAAGGAACTGGTAAGAATGTACTTAGTAATGTTCTATGCGAGCTCATTAGCAAGTACGCCAACAATAATATAACGGCAATAGAGAATGTGGTTGGTAGATTCAATGCTGCTATTGAGAACATGAAGCTCATCGTATGCAATGAACTAAGCTCATGCGATACGTCTAAGGTCATGAACCACGACGCACTAAAGTCAATAGTAACAGAGACTCAGTTGGACTTAAATCAGAAGTGTCAGCCAGTAAGAAAGATAGAGAATGTTTGTAATATCATCATGATATCTAACAACTTCAACTCAGTAAAGATTGATAAAGACGACAGAAGATTTGTTGTCATTGACGTAAGCAGCAGATACAAAGGAAATTACGAATATTTCTCAAATCTCATTGAAAGCTTTAATGAAGAGTTTTATTCAAACTTACTGACGTACTTCATGAAGAAAGATTTAAGTGAATTTGATGTAAGGAAGATACCATTCACCAGGGCTAAACAAGAACTCATCGAAATGAACAAAACACCTTACCAAATGTTTTACGAGGAGTTCTATGAAAAGTTTGTATCCGGATGGAATTGTACAGAGTGCTACAGAAGATATAAAGAATTTGCGAAGGAGAATGAATTCTTTGCATGTAGTTCAAATGTATTTGGTGGCAAGATGAGAGAATTTGTGAAGAGAAGTAGAAAGCGAGACGGTTCTGCAAGAAGTTATATTTACGAAGCAAGTATGATATTAGAAGGTCGTGGAAAGAAAGAAACAGTGAATTATGAGGAAGTGCTTGAAAAATTCATGGAGTACATGGGAAGCAATATAACATACAACAAAGACATATACAGTGAGTTTAAGTACTACTGTGAACAGCATGAGATTGAAGTAATGAGTAAAGGAGACTTTGAAACGCTTATGAAAGACAGTAAGGAGGTCGTTCATGAGAACAGTGTTGAAATAGTTCATGAGAACAGTGAAGAGGTCATACATGAATGCAATGATGAAATAGTTCACAAGAACAGTGAGGAGGTCATACATGAATGCAATGATGAAATAGTTCATGAGAACAGTGAAGAGGTCATACATGAATGCAATGATGAAATAGTTCATGAGAACAGTGAAGAGGTCATACATGAATGCAATGATGAAATAGTTCATGAGAACAGTGAGGAGGTCATACATGAGAACAGTGTTGAAATAGTTCATGAGAACAGTAAGGAGGTCATACATGAATGCAATGATGAAATAGTTCACGATGTCGTTCGTGAAGAAGCCATTGCAACAAAGAATGAGATAAAGGATTTCATAGAACTTAACAAGGAGGAGTTTAAAGAAGGCTATGAAGTGAAAAGATGTGAAGAAGATTTCTTGGCGTATTTGAAGAAAAAGAGACTAAAGCCAATGGCTCAAAATAAGTTTCAATCGATGTTTGAAAAGAAACGTTTGAGCTATGGTGGTGTAAGAAGCACATATTACTTTGTTAAGAAGTGAGGACATTTATTTTTGTCGTTAGTGTTGGAGTTTGTGTTTGTTGTTAGTGTTTGTCATTTGTGCTGAAGTTAGTACTTGATGTTAGTGTTGGAGTTTGTGTTTGTTGTTAGTGTTTGTCATTTGTGCTGAAGTTAGTACTTGATGTTAGTGTTGGAGTTTGTGTTTGTTGTTAGTGTTTGTCATTTGTGCTGAAGTTAGTACTTGATGTTAGTGTTGGAGTTTGTGTTTGTTGTTAGTGAGAGAATAAATTAAATCATGAACTTTGCCATGGTCTCTGTCCCTAGTAGTTTTCATTAAGTTCTGGAAATAATGAAAGTCATAAACTTTGCCATGGTCTCTGTCCCTAGTAGTTTTCATTATCTCACAGAGTTAATGAAAGTCATACTTTCTATCAGATGAAGCATGCAGATGAACATAATGAAAGTTAGTGAGTTTGCCACGAGTTATGAATAAAATATTGGCATATTAGATGAGATAGCTGATGAAACAGATGAAGATAAATTAAATCTTGGACTTTGCCACACTCTGTCCCTAGTTCCTCAAAATCCTTGACAACGTTGCTTAGAAATTTTGGTTCAAAACCTCATCTGATTTTAATCTGTTATGCTACCTGTTAAGTTTCGCGAGATTATAAATGTCATGGAGTTATATAAAAAGGAGGGACAGCTAGGGACACTGGAAGTACTTGTAAGGCTATCTGTTAAGATTGCATGAAATACTAAAAAGTCATGAAATCCATTATCGCTGTGCTAGCTTCACCTTTGATTGAAATGACGACTAAAGTCACTGAAGCAATGAAACAAAAGTTTTTGGTAGAATACATTAAATCAGGAACTATTCCAGAAGGTTTTTACATTCATACTATGAAGGATGGTAGAGTTCAGTTTAGAAAGATAAAACAACCATTAGATAAAGAAGGAATTTTGAGAAAGATTAAACTTCATGAGGACAACATTGCTAAACTTAGGAAGAAGTTAGAAGAGTTGGAGAAAGGAAGAGAGTTATAAAGCAATGAATTCAACAGGGTGAAAAAAGAGGTGAAAAAAGAGGTGAGATTTCACCACTTCACCTAAATTTATTTTTGTGCTATGTTTTCATACGTGTGAGGGTGGTGATATCATTTATTTTTAAGTTTATTTTTATATAAATGACAGAACAAAAATAAAACATATCTACTCAACAGGAATGAGACCCTTACTGACTATGTATTCGTTTAATGCTTGATGAAAACAATGGTACATATTATCGTATGGGTATACACAACGTCTGTTTCCATCGTCGTCGTATATGTAGAGCTCAAATCCAGTCCAACCTTCTTTTGTACAATATGTAGCTTTATTTAAGTATGCATTTATGTAGATAAGGCAATTTTCTTCATCGCTCCAGAAATAATTTTTCGTCTTTGTTGAAATAGTTTTCGTTCCTCTGCGACCATAAGGAATGTATGCAATGAATTTTGCGTCATATGGGATTGTAATATATTCAGGGTTTCTTTCATCGTCAATGGGTCTGTCTTTGTTAAAATGCATGTTTCTCAGTTTTACTTGAGTTTTGAATAGTTCACGGAAACGTTCTGGGAAAGAGTCATAGTAAATGTAGTCGGACATGTCTTTGTAATGAAATAAAAAATTTAAAAAAATAAAAATAAGGTTATTTTTTATTTAGTGAGGATGGTAGTGAATTCGTTAGTGAAGTCGTTAGTGAAGTCGTTAGTGAAGTCGTTTATGTGTCAGACGGTTTTGTAAATATTTAAGGTTAAGTTGGTGTTATGGTTGTATTGTAAAATATACGTTACCGGTTTTGTAAAGTGTCAAACCGTTAACTTGGGTAAGGCGGAACGCAGTGCCGCCGTACCCAAGTTAGGGATACTAACTATAATATTGGAACATTACTACATCAGCTCTTGAAGGAGAACTTTATATCAGAGATAGAAGCAAATGCTGCAGGTATTGTTGAAATGCACTATGACTTCTTCTTGACAAACATAAAGAATCTTACTGAAATAAAGATGTATGATTTAACAGAATATGAAGGCTTAACGATGTCAGATGTAAAGAAAGGCAAACCAAAAAGAGACCATATAGAGATGAAAGCACACTGACAAATGACCAGAAAGCCATTTTGGAAGCTCTTAAGCAAACAGGAAACCCAGCACTTATAGAAAGCTTTTGGAAAGATAATGGTGAAAAGAAGTTTTATAAGAAGAGAAGCGGTCAGTTCTGGAAGTATCTTTGCACATTACCTATAAATCTTGAACGCTACAAATCTTCAATGAACTGAACAAAAGAACTGCAACACTTATGACAGAAGATAACTGCTTCGTTTATGCTTGCATTCAGGCTGGAGTAAATGAAGAAACTATTGACCACATGAGAGAAGTCATTCGTGTTAGAGACTTTCCTCAAAGTAAAGTACAAGAAATTTCTGACGCAACTGGTATAGCATTTAATGTTACCATTGGTTATTTCAATGACTCAAGACATAATGAAATAAAAGAGATATATACCAAAAGAATGTGAAACTGTTCGAACTATTGACTTACTTCTTGTTGAAGACCACTACATGCTAAATGAAAGACTTCCAATGACAACATATTTCATTCGCAACTATATAGAAATCTTGAAGGAGTGTGGTGGAATGAACATTGAGAAACAGATGAAGATTTATACAAAGAGAGAAGATAAATATGTAGTTCGCATGGATAGAACTACACCGCTATGGGATGTTATGAAAACATTGTGGGAGTGCAAATATTTCGAACCTATTTCTTATGGAGAACTTTTCACATATACTACTGACTTATATAAACAGAACCTTGCACCATTTAAAGATTTGACATATGCTCCAAAGTATTGTGTACAACTGAAGAAGAAAGCAGAGTCAAAAGAAGTAAATAAAGCTAAATGTAAGTTCATTCCTGAGCATGTTTTCTTTGCTGACTTTGAGTGTAGCACAGACGGCTTTCATAAAGCTTTTAACATCTGTTACGACAGTGAAGATGGTTCAGTGAGTGAAAGCATATGGGGTCAAAACTGTGCAACAGAATTTTTGGAGCGACTTCCTGACAAGAGTTTAATATATTTCCATAACCTCAGCTATGATATAAACTTCATCTTAAGACACATGACAGAAGTGAAAGGAACTCCCATCATTAAAGGTTCACGAACAATGCAAATAACTGGTTTATATAAAGGACGGGCAATTATTATAAAAGACTCTTACAGTGTTATAAATAAGAAGCTTAAACTATTTCCTGCTATGTTTAACTTACAAACAGGACCGAAAGAAGTATTTCCATATAACTACTACAGCAGTACTTTGTTAGCAAATGACAACAGAACTGGTGTCATTTCTGAAGCATGTAAGTTTATCCAGGATGCTGATACATTTATGAAAAACATAGATTCCATCAAAGGTTGCAGAATAGATGAAAACCACTTCGACTTAGAAAAATATAGCACGTTTTACTGCAAACAAGATGTAAGAATTTTAAGAGAAGGTTTTGTAAAGTTCCGCAATGACTTATTGAAAGAGTTTGATTTAAACGTTTATGACTACGTTAGTATTTGTTCTATTGCTAACAAATTGTTTGAGAACAGAGTATACTTCCCGAATGGAAATCTTTATGACCTCTCAAATAAACCAAGAGAATTTATTTCGAGATGCATTCAAGGTGGAAGATGTATGTTGTCAGATAACATGAAACAAAAGAGCGAAAAGAAACTCATTGCTGACTTCGACGCTGTTTCATTATATCCATCCGCTATAGCAAGACTTTATACTTTAGAAGGAATTCCAAAAGTATTGAAGGATGAGATGTTAAGTTCTGAATATTTGTTAAAGCATTTATTCGATGACGACCAAAAGGAACCCATTGGTGAAAAGTTTATGTCTGGCTTCTTTGTTCTCATTAAGATAACAGAGATTGGAATACATAGACACTTTCCTTTAATAGTTTGTGACCCTGAACTAAATCCAGAACTTAACGTTCCCAGAAGTTCAAACGCTTGCTGTTTAATGTATGTTGACCATATAACATTACAAGACCTCATAAAATATCAAGGTGTCAAATGTGATGTGTTGCAAGGATACTATTACAATGGAAACAGAGATATTAGAATAAGAGATGAAGTAAAGAAGTTGTTTGAGTTAAGGTTAAAGTATAAGAAAGAAGGAAATCCTTTGCAAGAAAATATAAAGCTCATTCTGAACAGTATTTATGGCAAAACTATTCTATCTCCTATTGAGTCAAAAATAACCATAGTAGATGACAAAGATGCTATAAGATATGCCATCAGAAACTACGACCATATAGTGAAGTTCGAAGGTTTGGATGGTTCAGATAAAACTATTTTCAAGCTAACGAAAAGCATTTGCAGACACTTTAACTTCTGTCCACTTGGTGTTAACATTCTGTCTATGTCGAAGAGAATAATGTGTGAAGTATTCTGTACTGCTGAGGACTTAGGAATGGACATCTTTTATAGCGATACGGACAGTATGCATCTCTACAATGAAGATATCCCTCGTTTAGCTGAAGAGTTTGAGAAACGTTATGGAAGAGTTCTCATTGGTAAAAACCTTGGTCAATTTCATAGCGACTTTGCAGAAATCACAAAAGATAAACAAAGTTTAGCATACAAGTCAATATTTTGTGGAAAGAAGACTTACATAGACTTACTCACGAATGATTTAAATGAAGTTGCATTTCACTGCAGAATGAAAGGCGTGAAGCAAGATGTTATTGCTTTAACCGCTAATGAAATGTTTCCTGACTCTGTTCAGTGTTTCTATGATGAAGATAAAGGTTTAATGGTTCCGCAAGGAAAATTTGACAAAGACTCTGAGTTCAGTGTCATGAAACTTTATAAAGCACTTTATGACGGTCAAGAGATTGGATTTGACTTATGTAAGTCATGTCAACCTTGCTTTGAAGAGAAGTTTAACTTCTCAATAACGACTAAAACAAGCTTTATTCGTAAGTTGAAGTTCTGAGGTCA